TGGGCGGCAGGCAGGCTTTGTGAGGCATAAGATAGATCTGTCTGGATGTTGATTGAAGAAATGCTGCTCTTTTGACCCGGGGTTCCGAGTTCTTGTAACATGTTAGATGGGTTTTTACCCAAGTTCACTTGGACACCTGTACTGATAGGCTCAACAGCAACAGGGTTCACAACTTTTGAAAAAGGCAAGCCGTCCTTGAGAGTGCATGCCTCAGAATCTAGGCCGAGGACCAGGGTTCCTATCGACAAAGGAAGCAAGTGCACGGCGCCTGGGGTGGAGCTCGGATGCTCGACGCCCACCACCACAGGTTGGGCTGTGGACTCAGCCGTAGGCATGAAGACGGGCATGGGAGAGAAATGCATGACCGGCAGTTTGACCAGGGCCACTTTGGGCTTCGGGAGAAGCAACTTCTGAGGGTATCTTGGGGGTGTTGTGAGAGCCTGTTTTCTGGCAGGAGAGGTACAAGAGTCTTCAAAAGAAGCCACTCGCTTGGTTTCTGAAGTTTCTAGTTCCTGAGTGTACAGCCCAGGGGCTGCCTTACTGACCAATGAGTCCACAGTCTTGCCAGGCAACTTCTGACTGTGCAGGGAGTTTTCCATTTTCCTCTTCTTACCGGGTGGATCCCTAAAAGCAATGCGTCAAAAGAAAAAACGATGTTACAGCGCCATGTTCTTCAGCCCTGGTGCGGGATCTCCATTGACTCACCAGCACCATGTCCCGCAGCAGGAGCTGGGGCTGGGGCCAAAGCGGAGGCGGCAAAGAGAAATCCCTTCTTTGGTTACTCTTGAGAACCCAGACTATTATGGGAGATGGAGGATCAGGAACATGCAAACGGAGGAGGAGGAAGGATGCTTTTTTTGCTTTTCAGCTCTGAGTACTAGAACTCAGATTTGTAAGCATAAGGAAGCTAACTGATTATATAAGGGAACTGCTACCATTTCTAAAGTTGGGAAATATTATACTAAATATAAATCTGACCTTTAAAATGAAGTACAGTTTCATAATAAGACTTATTCCTTAACCAACTATCTCCCTGACAGAACATGCTGGAAGTGGAGATGTTTGGGTGAAAATCTCTAGGGGACATCAACGGGGGCTGGCAGCAAGAAGGGGGGGTTACTGGCCCAGGTGTGCCCCTTCGCTAGGTCCGCTGCCACTCCCTAAAGCACCTTCCACGGTGCATGCTATTACCTGTTCCTCTTTCTCTACCCCAGTGGCTCTCCAGACACTTTAGTCTGACCCTCCTCCCTCAGCCACAGGCATGGTGGCCACCACCACTCCTTAACCTGTCACCTGTGCTCTGCAGGGATCTCGTGGCCGGTCCGGTAGATGTGTGACTGTAGCGCCGTCCTGCTGGCGTAGGGACAGCCACAGGTGCACTGGAAGGTCTTACCGCAGTCCTCCGAGTGCCTTCTCAGGTCCCACTCGGTGCCATAGGAGTTGCTGCACTTACTACACTTGTGCTTCTTCTCTGCATGCATCTTCATAAAGTGCTAGGGAGAGCAAGAGGGAATGGGGTGAACGATGGAAGAAACTTAGAATGTTTGCAACCCCCTTCAACAAACCATTACCAACATTGGCTCTAGATGTTGATGCAGCTAATTAAAAACCAAAAGCAGACTCACCACCATCGAGTCAATTCTGACTCTTGGCGGCCCATAGCACAGGGTAGAACTGCCCCTGGGAGTCTCTGACACTGCGACGAGAGCGCACAGCCCAGTCTTTCTCCCTTGGCGCAGCTGGTGGTTTTAGACTTCCAACCTTGCAGATCTCAGACCGCCATGTAACCACAATGCGAGCAGGGCTCCTTTATGCAGGTAATAGAGCAGCCCAAACAAAAACAGTGAAAAGGCAGCCAAGGTCATACACCTCTTCACCTTGCCACTTGTGCTTTGTTAAGGTGTGGAACTCGGTTCTGGAAATAATATCTGGGGCCTAGCATATAGGCTTCAACTACAAGTTGAGTGCTCTCAACAGGGAAAATGTCTTTGTGATACTTTTCGGAAGACACACACCAGGAAAGCCTTGAGGGAACAGTTCAG